AACTCTATGAATTTGGATGAATGATAATAGTTATAGAAGGCTTCAGAGCTTTTGCTCATAGGGTCACTATGCTTGACTTGACGGCAATCAACAACAACAACAGCAGCAACAGTCCTGGGATGGAGGCATCCAATTTACAGGAGGCATTGGTTTGTCCTATATTGTTGTTGTGTGCCATAGAATCACCTGCAATCGTAGTGACACTATGGACAATACATCCAAACTCTGTTCTTTCCTGAGCCAGTCTCACTGTCTCTGACATACTTACCTCCATAACCCCAGTTCCTGTGTCAAGCCATCCCATCTGGGATCTTCTCTCTTGCACTGTCCCTCTACCCTTCCGAGCATGATGTCCTTCTCCAGGGACTCTTTCCTTCATGTCCAAAATAAGTGAAACAGGAATTCAAAATCTTTGTCTCCAAGGAGCAGCCTGGTTTCACTTCTCCATGATAAACCTGTTGTATATTCAGTACTCTTCTCCAGCAACACAACTCTGGCATCAAGTCATCTGTCATCTCCAGACTGACATCATTGCTCTTCAGTAACTTTTGAGAGATTCTTGACAGCAGTTTTCCCCAAAGCAATTAGTCTTTTAATTTCTTGACTGCTGGTGCCAAGAGTGTTGATTGTGAATCCAAGTAAGCTGAAATTGCTATCAACCTCAATCTCTTCTTTATCTGTTATGGTGCTGCCAATTGGTCCAGTAGTGAGAATTATTGTCTTTTTAATGTTTTGCTTCAATTCATATTGAAGACTGCAGTCCTTGACCTTTTGCAGCAAGTGCTTCAGGTCCTTCTCAGTTTCAGCAAGTTAGGTTGTGTCATCTGCATAATGCAGATTGCTGATGAGTCTTCCTCCAATCCTGATGTCACATTTCTTCCTCATAAACTCCAGCCTCCCGAACGATCTGTTCTTCATACAGATTGAAAAGATATGGAGATACCTGATGCACCTCTTTTTTGATGTTGAACCATTCAGTGTTTCCTTGCTTTGTTCTGAGGACTGCTTCCTGGTCCAAGTATAGGTTTCCCATGAGAAAAATCAAAGGATTTCCCATGAGAACATTCTTCTCAAGGTTAGCCACATTTTTTTTTATCCACACAGTAAAATGTCTTCTCAGACTATGCCCTATAGACATAATTTTTTCTTCTTTCATCCTTAGTCATTGTCCAGCTCTCAGATGCATAGCAAGTGACTGAGAAGACCATAGACTGAGTCAGGTGCATTTTGTCCTGAAGCTGACATCATTGCTCCTCAATAATGTGGAAGAATTGCTGACTACAGAATTTCCCAGTACAATACAGGTCCCTGTCTCCTGACTGTTGGTAATAAGTATATTGATTGTGGATCTAAGTAAGATGAAGTTATTGGCAGTCTCGGTGTTTTCTCCATATATCATGATGTTGCCTTTCAGTTCAGTTCAGTGGTGAGGACTTGTGTTTTCTTGACATTGAGATGAAATCCATATTGAAGACTGTAATGTTAAATCTTCTGCAGCAAGTGCTTAAGTCCTCCTCATTTTCAGCAAGGTTGTGTCATCCACATAATGATTATTGAATGTGTCTTCCTCCAATCCTGGTGCCACATAGAGTCTAGTTTCTCATACTTTTTTTTTCAGTATATAGATTAAATAGGTATGGAGAAAGGCTACAACCCTGACTTACCCCTTCCCTCATTTTATATCATTCAGTGTTCACTTACTCAGTGTTGACAAAAGCCTATAGGTTTCACATGAGAACAATTAAGTTAGGGACTATCAAGTTGGAGCCATCTCCTAACTCACTTGCCTATGGGTTTTCAGAGACAGTGAGTTGCACTGGAGGAGGCGACCTGACTTTTTCCTGCAGAGCAGCTGGTGGATTCAAAACATGCTTCTGGGTTTCAAAATTAATTCCTACTTCAGTTAGCATTGACTTCAACCAAATTCTCCTCGTTTACTTCACAACTATCTTGCCAACTTGAGCTGGTGGCTCCTTTCCTCCAGGCAGGTAATTTCTTCTCAGTTCCCTCAATTTTTTTTTTAAAGATTTATTTCCTTGCATGTATTCATGCCCTTGCAGCAAACACAATCTTTAATTCACAGTACACATCACATCCTGGCAGAGAGAGGCTTTCTTTTCTTTTGTATCATATGACTTCCTTCCTTTTCCAGGGAAATCTGGGAAGGGATGAATAGTACAGAAAAGGTCCTGTAGTTGTGAGGTAACTATTTCCTATCCTGGCTTCCCTGCATGTAGTCCTACCGGGATTTTAAAATGAACCTTTCCATTTGTTTCTTCTTTCAGAGTAAAATAAGAGACTAGACTGCTTTCTCTTCCTGTCTCATCCCTCCTCAGGCCCAGTTAGAAAGCAAAGCAAAGAAACTGGAAAAACTTTGGGGTTATGTCTGTGCAATATCTTCAGCTTTTTTTTCAGTAATGTATATTGTTGTGATATGTCATTAATCTTAGGTTTTTCAGAGGCTTTAAATTGCAAGGGAGGAAATTGCTCATTTTTGTTCCTCAGAATAACCGATAGATTCAAATCACAAGCCGCTTAGATGTGAGAACTATACGTAGTCCAAACACACATTTAAATGAAGAAGAAAAAAAAGGTCATTGAGATTAACTGAGACTATGTTCTAGCCACAAAAATGGCTAGAATAATACATTAACAGAGAACTGTCAGAAAATTCAAGTTGAGTTTAGAAGAAGTCAGAACACCAGGGATTATCATTACTGAGGTCAGATAGATCCTGGCTGAAAGCAGGGAACACCAGAAGAATGTCTCTTTGTGTTTTTCTGATTATGCACAAGTATTTGACTATGTGGATAATAACAAACTATGGCTCACCTTGAGAAGAACAGGAATTCCAGAACACTTAATAATGGTCATATGAGATCTATACCTAGACCAAGAAGTTATTGTCTGAACAGAGCAAGGGGACACAACATGGTTTAAAATCAGAAAAGGTCAGGGTAATATCCTTTCTTCATACCTAGTCAATCTGTATGCAGTCATTTGAGAAGCTAGACCATATGAAAAAGAATATGGCATCAAGATCAGAGGAACCCATTAACAAACTGCATAATACATGATATGACCTTGCTTGCTAAAACTGAGGAAGACTTGAAACATTTACTGCAAAGGATCCAAGATTATAGAATTTAATGTAGAGTGCATCACAGTATCAAGAAGAGAAAAATCCTCACCAATGGACTGATAAGCAACATAATGACAGATGGAGAAAAGATTCAAATTGTCAAAGATTTCGTCTTATTTGAACTCACAATTAACTAATTTTTTTTATAGTTACAGGATTTTTTTTTTCCTTTTCAGGAAACAGTTGGTTGTTTTGTGTTTTTTTTTGTTTGTTTTGTTTTTTTTTTTTTTAAAGTCTGCTATTGTCAAGCACAAGACTATTTTAAAAGAAAAAATATATAATAAATGACACCTTGTTGCAACATGTATTTGTGCCTGCATATTCTCCCCCGTAATACTTTGTGCTTTATATAATCTTTCATTTACATTGTGTTTGAGATCAGGAGATGTATTCCATTAGGAAAGTTCACTGTCAGTGACCTTTCTAAATTACTGAGGAGCAATGATGTCAGTTTAAAGACTAAGGTGACTGATTCAGGTCATATCTTTTCAGTCATTTGCTATGCATCTGAAAGCTGGATGGCAGGAGAAGAATTGATGCCTTTGAGTTGTGATGTTGGAGAAGAGTACTGAACATCTCATGGACTGCCAAAATCACAGTTACGTCTTTGTAAATATCCAACTAGAGCATTCTTTGGAGGCAAGGATGGTGAAACTTCGTTTCACATATTTTGGACATGTAAGGTTATTGATTGGAAAGTGGAGGATCAGCAAGAGAGGAGGACCCTCAAAGAGATGGATAGACACGGTGAGTGCAGCAATGGGCTCAAGTGTGTTAAAGATGATAATGATGGCACAGGATAGAATAGGCTTCAGATCTGTGGTTCATAGGCTTACTGAGTCATAACTGACTCAGCCACATCTAACAATGAGAACAACTGAAACAAACACAATTTTCAGGTCATAGTCTTCCACATTCATTGTTTACCTCTTTATCCTGAGTCCACCCAATTCATACAGTGTCTGGGGACCAACAGGTGACAAAGAAAGCAGTAACCTTGAAATAGTGAACTCAATTTTTAATTAAGTGATGCTAAAGTGAATATTTCCATACAACTATATACTGACTCAAGGAGAGCTCAATTTATGTCACACCAAAGGTAGGCTATTTCAATCCACTAGCAGCTCCCCTGGAGAAAGTTAGGCAATCTCTGTTGGGACAAAAACAGTGATAATCCACTTGAGAGTCAGCTATCAGTCTGTTACAATTCAAACATTGTAATTAGAGCAATGGTAGCACAGCAATCAGTGATGAGTATGAACCAGCTACTGCATGCTAGTAAGAGAGACAATCTGCGTTCAAAATGATTACAGCCTTCTAAAGTCTGATGGGCATATAGAGCTGACTGGCAATGGATACTGTTATCATTGACCTTACCTTGACAAACAAACAAACAAACAAACAAACAATCATTTTGACGCAGCTCTGACAGAAAGTCAGAGTTTCAAATATCCAAGAAAGTATGTAAGACGGAGATTTACCATCCTTGCCTCCAAGCAGCACCTTTTCTCTAGGACAGACCTGTTCGTTCTCTTGGCGGTGCATGGGATATTCAGTACTCTTCAGGAGGAACCATTTTGTTGTGAGAACAGAGAGAAAAGCCCGAGAAAAACCCTCCCCTCACACTGGAGTCAAGGGTTTCAGAGATGGTGAGGTTGGCTCAGGATAGGACAAGGTTCAGAGGCATTGTCCATAGGGTCGCTCTGAGTCCTAGTAGATGGCACATAACAATAACCCAAGAAAGGCACTTAGAATATAAGGTTTAGAATTCATTTGTTGAAAGTATACGTGACTCTGAACAGAGACTTAGTTTAGCTGTAGAGATTCTTGCTTGGCAGGCTTATTTCAAGCTGGTGTACTAGGTGCCCTCGGACATGGCGTGCTTGGCCAGCTCCCCGGGCAGCAGCAGGCACACGGCCGTCTGGATCTCACGCGACGTGACGGTGGAGCGCTTGTTGTAATGCGCCAGGCGGGACGCCTCGCCGGCGATGCGCTCTAAGATGTCGTTCACAAAGGAGTTCGTGATGTCTATGGCCTTAAAGGAGATGCCAGTGTCGGGGTGGATCTGCTTCAGCACCTTGTACACGTAGAGCTCTCCTTGGGCTGCGCTTGCGCGCTTCTTGTCGTCCTTTTGCGCCACGGTCACCGCCTTCTTAGAAGCCGATTTTCAGTCCAGAGCAGACTGGGCGTAAGCATGGCAGCGTCAAAAGTTTGAGTATCAAAAGTACTGGGGGCGGGGGGGGGCGGAACCCCAACCCTACAGAGGCTGCTTTTAGTTATGCAGTACTCAAATGTTAATAAGATATTGCTTATGATTGGACTATTTACGTGTGTCGTCACAAATACAATTGTAAATGACCCCTTCAAGTCTCCATTTTCATTGGCTAGTTCATTAGTGTGCTTTGACCCAATCAAAAAGTCTAACCTAGAGTACCCGAAGATACTTGGAAATGGACTTTTGCAACTAAGAACAGAATGCACAGAGTTAAAAATCTACATATTTTAGTCTTGTGGGCGGAGCCGGCAGCCGGCTTGGTGTAACAACTTCCGGGGTTGGGCCGGACCAGAGCACCTGCGGTAAGCGCCGATCTTCTTAAACTGGTCAACTTGCAGTTAGGCAGCCGTGTGTAATCCCGCCCGCAGTCAAGCCCCATGTCCTTAAAGACTAGAGTAGTAGTAACTTTTTGCCTTTTAAAGTATCAAGTGCTTTATACTATGTGGCTAGGGTTAGTAAGAGGTCCCAGCGCTCAAAACATATGCCAACTACCTCCAACACGAATGGTACAGCGAAATACCAGTTAAAAGAACCCTTTTAACTCCAGCAGACGAAAACCCCTTACCAAGTATGTAGGTCACTCCCACATCCCTTGAAATGTGCAACAGCTCTTTTTCCGAGATCTGTGGGTGGCTCTGAAAAGAGCCTTTGGGTTGTGTTAAGCCTCTAAGCAGAGAGCCAAAAGAACTTACTTCTTCTTGGCTGCCGCCTTCTTTGGCTTCGCTGCCTTAGGCTTGGCGGTCTTTGGTTTGGCCGCTTTGGGTTTCACCGCTTTGGCCTTTGCTGGGCTTTTGGGGGTCTTCTTAGGCTTGGCTGCCTTTGCCTTTTTCGGGCTCTTTGCTTTTTTGGCTCCAGCAGCAGCCGCAGGCTTCTTAGCCTTCTTTGGGGTCTTCTTGGCGCTTTTCTTTGGGGTGGTGGCCCCGGCAGCCTTCTTAGGCTTCTTGGCTGCGCCAGCGGGCTTCTTTGCCTTGGCTGCGCTGGCCTTTCTGGCCTTGGGTTTGGCCTCCCCGGAACCTGCCTTCTTGTTGAGCTTGAAGGAGCCAGAGGCGCCGGTGCCCTTGGTCTGGACCAGAGTGCCCTTGCTCACCAGACTCTTCAGACCCAGCTTGATGCGGCTGTTGTTTTTCTCCACATCATAGCCGGCAGCAGCCAGGGCTTTCTTGAGCGCAGCCAGAGACACGCCGCTGCGTTCCTTGGAAGCGGCCACCGCCTTGGTGATGAGCTCGGACACCGGGGGCCCAGACGCCTTGCGCTTCCCGGCGCCTGCAGACTTGCGGGCCTTCTTCTTGATCGGCGTCTTCTCAGCGGGGGCCGGAGCGGCAGGAGCGGCGGGCGCAGTCTCGGACATGGTGAGGTCAAGCGTGGAGAAGGAAACTAGAGCCGGAAGCTGAGGCACTGGCAAAAACTCACCGTGCCGCTGCGCCCGCCGGTTTATATAGGGCGGAGCTGCGCCGTGATTGGTGCGCTGTCCAGCCCGCCTCACTGGCAGCTGCAGAGTGTCCTCTCCGATCCCGAGTTGTGTTTGTTACACCTCAAAAAAGCCCCAAAATATCAAAATTCTCTACTCTGAATTGTCCAGCTTTTCTCAGAAAACAATCCTCGAAGCCTCAGGCTTCAAGACAGTCTTAGATGATGAGTATAGCACCAGAACTTATGCCAAAAAGCAGCAATATTTCCCGCCGTGCATGGCAAATTTCAACTCATAGTAACAAAACTTTCTATTTTCTTTGTAAATTATAAACTCATCTTCAACTGTACAGTTTTCTGACCTCTCAAGTATAATTCTCCAAGAGGTTAGTTTCTTATATGTTCAAAAACCGAGCCACTGGCATTAAGATTTTTAGTATAAATCTGCACTTAAGTGAGGGAAGTAACACAGGCTCCTAGGAGAGTCTTGCCTATTGAGCTGAGGGCATTTGAGTTCATCAAACTGGTTTAATGCAATTCCAAATAAATTATTGCCTATTTGAGGTTAACTTCTAGACCTCTGAGACATAAATCTATGCAGCCATGGTTTTATTTTGTCTGCTGTATCTACCTTTAAAAACTATTACTTAAGTTAATTCTTTTCCTTAGTGTTCCCAAGGGCTGAGGGCGGGGCTGTTGCTTCCCTTTCTCTGGACTAACTGCTCCCAGGGTTGAAATACCTTGAATTCAGGGTATTTAGGAAAGAAGGGGAGTTTTAGACACAGGATATAGAGATGAAAAAGATTTCATCGATGACGACACAAGTGAAATTTACAAACTAAGTGGAAGTGAAGGTACACTTTCTTTTGAAGAATTTCTCTCCGTCTTTCCTGAATTCTTTGGGTACTTGATTCAGAGCCATATATTTTAATTAATATGTTAGTTAGAGCTAGGTCTCAAGAACTGATCATAAAATAAACTAGCAGAACTTAGAACACATCCTTTCTCCTTGTTATAGAAACTCAGACCCTCTCACTACTAAGTGAATGATTAGTGAGCACTCCAAATGCTCATAGTTTAATCTCTATGAAGATTGATTCTAATCTTCCCAGATGTCCATAAAAAATAAAAATAAGTGACATGTAGGGATTCAATTTCAAGTTTTAATTTCTTAGAAATAGATCTTTGAGAAGCTATCCAAATCATGTCACTGACCTCTTTGCAAGGCCTCTGAAAGAGGAGTCAACCAAACCATGAAAAGTATATATTGACAATGAAAACAAAACTAAGGAAATAATTCCAGGCCGATGGTACATAATTGTCATGAAAGCTTCAAGTCACTAGTAGAAAAATAAGCTACATATGCACAGTGTTATATAGAAGGTGATACTACTTTATGCATGTTGAACTTGGTGACAAAGTGTTGAACATCATCTTGACTTTCAGTACTGTAGCCCCAAAACAGAAAGGTAAAGAATAATACACATCTTTTATACATGAATTAAAGGTTTCAAAATAATATTGATTCAATAAGTAGTGAACTGAATATAAAAATTATATAAATTATCAATACTTTTATGAGACTGACACACTGTCTACTGCACTACAAAAGCACTTCATCAATACTTTTAAAACTTTATACATATATATGCATTTTCACTTTAATTAGTGCATATTGGCTGATTGACTGGAAGAGATCCATGTTTGGTTTTTGGTTTTTTTTCTGTTCCCAAGAAAAAAGATCCAATAGAAAGTGGAAATTAGTGAATAATATCATTGATATCATATGCAAGCAAAATACTGCTGTGGATTATTAAAAAATAACTAAAACGGTACATAGAAAACTGCTTAGCATTCTAGCTGGATTTAGATGTCAGATGGATTCTGCCTGAAAGCAGAGAATACCAGATGAATGTCTTTGTGCTTTATTGACATTGCAAAACCATTTGTGTAAATAATAACAAATTATGGCTAACATTGAGAATCATGGGAGTTCCAGAACATTTAATTGTGCTCATGAAAAACCTATACCTAGACCAAGATGCTGTTGTATGAACAGAGCAAGAGTTTAAAATTAGGAAATGTGTCCATCAGGATTGTATCCTTTCTCTATGCCTATTTACTCTGTATAATGAGCAAATTATTCCAGAAGCTAGATTCTATTAAGAAGAATGTGGAATCAGGCAGTATTGAAAGAAGATTCATTAATAATCTTTGTCATGTGGGTGATATAATTTTGCTTTCTGTAAGGGAGGAGGACTTGCAGCACTTGGCTAGTGAAGATTAAATCCGTTTCAATATAATTGCATTTCAATGTCAAGAATACAAAAATCTTCATCATTGGACCCATAGACAACATCATGATGGATGGAGAAAGGATTGAGACTGTCAATGACTTCATCTTATTTGGATCTACAATCAGTGCACTTGGTACCAGGATATCAGGAGATCAGGATATGTATTACACTGTAAAGTCTGAAGTCAGGGACCTCTCCAAGTTATTGAGGAGCAGTTATATCAGTTTAAGGGCTACGATATTCCTAATTCTGGCTATAATTGTTTCATTTACTTGCTATGCACTTGAGAGCTGGCAATGACAAGGGTGACAGAAGAAGAATTGATGCCTTTGAACCATGCTGTTAGAAAAGAGTATTAGATAACCCATGGACTGCCAAAAGAACAAACAAGTATGTCTTAGAGAAGGCGTCCAAGTGCTCACTGGGGCAAGGATGATGAAGTGATGAAAGTTCATCTCACATACTTTGGGCATATTGCTAGGAGAAGTTATTGCTTGGAGAGGGACATCATTCTTGGGGAGGTGGAGGGACAGCCAAGGACAGGAAGAACCTCAACCAGGTCTGTACATAGTGTCAGCCACAATGAGCTCTACTGTGTCAGGAAGTGTAAGGATGGCTCGGGATAGGGCAGAGTTCAGATCTGTTATTTATAGGGTTGCTATGACTCATTGTTCACTTGATGGCACTGAACAGCCACCCAATAGCAGCACCAGCGCAGTCATATACTCCCAAAATGCTCTAGTGGACAAGTGATAAGGAGTTACACAGGCAATCCAAAAGTATACGGTTCAAATCCACCAGCTGATCTGCAGAGAAAGATGGGCAATCTCCTGTAATTTACTGCCTCTGAAAACTTACTGGAAGGTCAGCTATGGGTTGGTTCTGATTTAAAGGTACATAAAAACAAGAACAGAATACTCTCTTCACATGTAAAATAGAAGATGCTGTGTTGGTGTTGGTAGTGAGGTGTTTGTTTTTGGGGTTCTTTTTAAAGAGTAAAATGTATCTTTTGTTATTTATGAAAATAGAATTGGGAGACACTTGAAGTATCAAAAAAGCCTTATAAATTTATGCAAGAAGCTATACTGCAATCCCAAAGGCATTTGGCTTGGATTCACAAATTTCTCCAAGGAACAAGAATGGACAATTTCCTCTCATGTGATTAACTCTTTCTGCAAACCTGCTGGAGGATCAGATATAGGTCATTTATGATTCTACGGAACACAACAACAAGAAAACTAGAAGAGGAATGAGGCATAGACGCAACAACCTAAGCTAGGCAGATGACACAACCTTGCTTGCTGAAAGTGAGAAGGACTTGAAACATTTACTTCAGAGGATAAAAAAAATACATTCTTCAATATGGATAGCATCTCAACATCAAGAAGACAAAAGTTCTCTCCACTGGACACAAAGGCAACATCAGGATAGATAGAGATAAAGGTTTATATGGTCAATGATTGCATCTTACTTGGATCTACCATCAACACCCTTGGTACCAATCAGGAGATCTAGAGACATTGCACTGGACAAGTCTGCTGTCAAGGATCTCTTCAAATTATTGGGAATCAATGATGTCAATTTGAAGATTAAAGTGTGTCTTATTCAAGCCATGGTCTTTATACTTGTAATGCATCTGAGAACTGAACAATAAGGATGACAGAAGAAGAAGTAAAGCTTTTGAGTTGAGTTGGAGAAAAAAAGCACTGAGTATTCCATGGACTGCCAAAAGAACAGACACATATGTCTTATAAAAAGTGCAGCCAGAGTGTTTCTTGGAGATAAGGATGGTAAAACTTCACCTGTATTTCAGACATGTTGCTAAGAGAGGTTATTCCTTGGAAAGGAATTTCATGTTTGGAAAGGGAAGACTCTCAATGGGATGAATTGATATAATGAGGGCATTATTGGGTTAAGGTTGTTGATGATAGTGAGGATGGCACAGGATAGGACAGGTTTCAGATCTGTTGTTCATAGGATCACTGTGCGTCATAAATGACTCAACAGCACTTAACAATAACTACTAATTAAGAAAACTAATTATGTGGGCATTAGATGCCAGCACAAAGAGCTTATACTTATTTCTAATGATGGGCAGAACAACTTGGAAAAGTGACTGAAATTTCCACAACTTATTGAGAGTTGCTTTCAAATGGATCTATTTTCAATGTGTTCCTTACCGCTTTAGAGTTAGCGCAATGTACCTTTGTTACAATACACAAAATGCTTTTTTTTTTTACTCTGCAGGTTTATAGGTCCAAGGTTAGAAATGTGTCTTCCTCATGCAGTATCTTGAACTTGTGAAGTATTCTTAGATATGTTATTCTCTAACAAGCAAGGAAAATAATTTCTGCTAGTTGTCTTTTCCTTACAGCTTTACAGTGATGAGTAATCAAACCTTTGTAGTGATGAGTAACTCTGTATGATGAAAAGTCTTCTAATTTCCATTTTAACCATGATAAAAATTAAGAGAGACAACATAATTTGCAAAAAAGCTGAAAGGGAGGATTTCTCTTAGTCCACAATCCTTAGTTACAAGTGCTTAATTCAGGACTTTGCTATTTTGATACAATTTTGCTATAATTGCTTTATTGAAGATAGAATTTGAAATAGGAATACTTTTCACTAGAATAGATCATTTCTTCTCCACCTTCCTCACAGGAGCTGTTACATAAATGTGGATATGACGA